TATATATATATATATAAACTTGATGAGTAGTATTTCGAGTCAAAACGAGCCGAACACGAACGAACACATCTTAGCTCATGTTCGGCTTGTTAACTTATCGAGCTAAATTAAAGAGCCGAACACGAGCTTCTTAACGAGCCGAACACGAGCTGTTCGCGAACAATGAACCGTTTTGACAGCCCTAGTATGAATTGCCAAAATAAAAATAAAAAAAAAACAAAAAAAAAAATCATTAAAAATAAGAATTTCTATCCACAAAATATCGCTTGAGCTGAGTGGATAGAGGCCTTTGCTATCCATTGATCAAACCCACCAATGAAAATTCAATGGGATTTGTACGATCCAGATTAATCTAAAGGTAACAAAATCAGCACTAGGAAACTTCTGTTTCACTCATTTCATTGAATTTTACATTCATATTCATATTTCTATAAATCATCTTCTTCAACAATTTTACAAAAAATTGTTGAAGATATATTAATTTAAGCAAAAAAAAATATCAGAATGAATCTTAATATTTTAATTATGTATAATGAAACATTTTTATTAGATGAATGATTAAGAGATTACATCACAAGTATAAACATCAAATTTAGCTCTCAAATATATATATACATAAGAGTTATATGTGATATATATCTAAATTTCCCAATTTTATATGTACCGGAAGCAAATAAGACCCCGCTCATCTCCCATACATGACATCCAGTGCTCTTGTGTGGCTCTGCTTACGCCAAAAGCTCCATTGATTCCCCAATCAGAAAAATGAGAAAGTTCAATGAAGACGACGAGAATCAACATCTCGAGCTCCTCAAATCCGTCGCACAGGCCTGGCACGCTCGCGTCGGCGATTCCAATCCCACCAACGAGCTCGACGCCGCAGGCCGCGCCGCCCGCTCTCCTCTCCGCCGCCCCTCCCGTTTCAAACTCGAGGCCGCCGCCGCCGCCTCCAAGACTGGACCTTTATGGGATTTCAGCCGTTCGCTGTGGGATGCCTATGAGATTGTCACCATTGCCAAGCAGCTCGAGGTCTGCAACCTTACCTTAGACCAGCAGATGCCGTCGCCGTCGTACGGCGGCGGTGGGAGGCAGAAAGGGAAGCGGAGATGGGAGAGTAAGAATAGCTTGAGGAATTTGTTTAATAAGGCGGGTTCTAGGAGATTTGATGGGAGAGATCTTCCGGAAGAAGGAGAGTAGGAGTATATTTCTTGACAATGTTAAAAGAACATTTTTTTTCTGTCCGGCTTGTCGTTTGGTTAAGAAAATTCTTCATTTCAGCGAGAGTAGGAGTATATTTCTTGACAATGTTAAAAGAGCATTTTTTTTTCTTTTTTTCTTTTCTGTCCAGCTTGTCGTTTGGTTAAGAAAATTCTTCATTTCAGTTGATCGTGTAAGAGTTCATCAGATTTGGCTTGAAAAAAAAAAAAAGAGTTTTTGGGTTTAATGCTCCAAAGCTAATCATAAGTTGTAGTTGTTTGTCTGCATTTTTAAGTCTGCTGAGATAGAAATGAAGATCTTTGAATGCTTGATTAATTGTAATGTTTATAGTGTTTTGACATTGAGCTGATTTCAATCTCCTTGTAATGGTTATTCATGGAACCATGCACTGGAGGCGCACCTTAGAATGACAGTAGTGTTACGAAGTTCATCATGTGAGTTTTCTTTGTGGGTTGGAAGCGACAAGAGCGAGCTGAGCCACCAATATAGGGGAAGTTTGGCCAAATTGGGCTTTGCTAATCTCATCATCAAGGCCATATTTCTTGATTTTGTTCAGCACATAAATATTTTTTGTGTCCAAATTTAGACTATAGAATCATTTCAATAGTTAACTTGCATTCTAAAGCCAAGTTTTATTTCATAATTTAAGTATCTTTCATGTTCTAACCGAAGACCCGACAAATACTTCCTATTCTCGTAGCTGTTGACTACCCTCCAACATCACTCGCCGGTTGTTGTCGACCACCGTCAGTCGCCCTCTGCTCGTCGTTATCGATGGACCTTGCAAAGTGACGATGAATTTTGCGGCGTAATGATGCATCCTAAATACATCCTGAATTCATAAACATTAAGTTTATGAAGGCTACTTTTATGTTGGGGGGCAATCTTCATTGCATGATGCATCCTAAATACATCCTGAATTCATAAACACTAAGTTTATGAATTATGTTGGGGGGCAATCTTCATTGTAGTCTCAAAAGGTCATTCATGCTAATGTCTCTAACATGATTTTGGTTGTGTAGTCATCCCAAATTTCATTCAAAGATCAAATTTTTAAGAATCGCTTTTTGTCTGAGGGGCAAATTTCATCATGAAGAGCGCTTCCTCATTCTACCCATCATACCAGAGTTCTTCCTCAACTCGATTAAGATGCTGATCTTTTCAAGATTCAATACATGGGTTGTTTTACAGGTTCGTGTGGATAATAACCCCATTGTGGGACAACAAATTTAAAAGCAACAACAACGCTGTCAAATGTCGTAACCATATCTCCAATAAGAAGTATAGTCTATCTTGACCTATACGCCGATCTTGAATAGGTCAAAAATAATTGATGGATTTCATTCGACTTTGTTAATAACAGTTATTTTTATAGAGCATGTTTGGCTATACAATCTAAGATGGTTTTACATCCTTAGTGGATTACAATTAATTTTTTTCCATTACAGGTAACAATCATTGAGTTGGTGCTCTGACAAACAACATTGGATAAGTTGTGCATTCTTAACTAGGGTGTTTTTTCATCTCTAATAACACGACTTTGAACAAGTTAATATTATTTGAGTAATTTAAGAAAATTTTGAAAACTCTTAGCTCGCAATTAAATTTTATAATCCAAGATTTCACTACAGGGTAAACAATGAAGTGACACTTAAAAATGTAATATGATGTCAAAGTTATGCAATATCACAAGGTGTAAAGAGCTATATCAAGCAGAAAATAAGCTGCATAAACTAGCACACTGACTACATCAAAACAGGAAGAGCTACAAATACCGACACACTATCACCAAAGTGCTAGAATAGCCATGCATACCGACATACCGACCTTAATCTACTACGACATCCTCCTCAACATTAGGAGTACATTCATGCAAGTCATTTTCAGTTGGGCTCCCTTTCTAAGCCAGAGGGGGATCCTTAGGCCTCTGGATAAAAGATGCCCTTAAGATTTGCTATAGTCCAACGATATGATCAATAAACCATTTATTAGAGGCATTGACAAAATTATCTTATTGTGAGTTGAGATCGTTGCTTTATATTATCCTCTTTAAGAGACATCATCCTTGCTTGAATAGCTTGTGAAATCTCCACATTTTGATTGAGGTTTGCCCATGTCTCACTTAGTTCTTCTTGAGTATCCATTAGTTCTTGGTATTTTTGAGGAAGAAAAACTTCCCTAGAAGATGTTTTGTCTCTTCATTTTGCTAATTGATTTACCAATAACATTATGCGTACTCTACAAAAGTTATTCACCTTCTTGTGCTTGTCATGGATATGGTTTATTTTAACAAGCACACTCTTGTATGTCCTAGAAGAAAATTTCAGCTTATCTTCAAAGGGTATCAACATCAAGAGAGATGTGATTTCCCAGATGCAGGCAACTCAACACACTAAAAATCTTTATTAGAAAGCATAATTGTAGCATGAAAATTTTCATCTTGAAATTGAACTAATATTGTCGAAAATATCCTCCAAAAACCACACTAATAATGCAAAAAATTTCTTAAAAAAGTGTAATAGTGACGTGGAGAATCTCATATAAATGACACAACAACAATGCCAAAAAGTGGCACAACAACAGACCAAGGCTCTTGGGGTGCACAACAACAAAAAATTATTACATGTGAAAATCCACATGTATTTCTATGGCAGGGATGAGCCCCCCTCCCACCCCCCGATTTTGCATGATTAGATAGTCGTAGCATGCGATCTACCTGATTTTACATGATCAGGCAGTTGCTTTGTGTGATCCGAGTGCTTATGTGCGTTTCTCACGTCTCCACGTGAAAGGGATCACAACACACATAATCTTGTCGTAGGCTCACCTGACCCAGTCACATCCCAATATAATGAGATATCAGGCTCACCTGACCTGACCCGCTTTGCCAGCTCACTCCCTGCCTGCTACGTCGTCCGATTACTTGACCTGGCTCGACCTAAAGCCAGCTCGAGTGTCCTGCGTTCATGCCCGTGAGTCACAGCCAGCTCGAGTGTCCTGCGTTCATGCCCGTGAGTGACGCCTATGACTCACACTCATGCCTATGACTCACACTCATGCCTATGACTCGCACATGTTTTGCACCTCCAACACCGATTGTTACATGTCACCATCTCCCACAAAAATTATAAAAAAAAAACAAAATTTTCCAAAATTTGTAAAAGTTACCTCAAACTTATATAATTTTGATAATTTTCGGACGAGTAATGAAATAACCATGAATTGGGGGTTAACTGATATATTATCAACAAAATTTGTCATTGGACATGATTCTCAAAGCAATTAATATAAATCTAGGAGCATTTTTTGAGCAAGAAAAATTCAAACTCTAATTAAAAATTATTAGGAACTCTAATTTTAACAAACTTAAAATCAAATTGATTGGCACAACAAGACGAGACAAACACGATGACAGTAGAATTGGTCAAATCCGAGTGAAATCAAGATCGATCCATGCCATGAGTTTTTTCTTAGAATCTATAGATAGCTATTTGGAATGTCAAATGGATTCCAATTCTGATAACCTTATAGTCAAATCGAGCATCTCAATGAGATAAATCCAATCTACCCAAGATCAGTAAATTCCTATATTATTAAGATACTAAAATATTCACAATAATTTGTCTGATCATGAGAATCTCTCTGAGTCGTCCGATGGAGTAGTATGAATGTTTTTTTTTATACAAGCAAGGTCATTCCCAGACTCTATAAATAGAGCCCTACTCCCCTCATGAAAGTTGAACCTGAACTTAAAGGAGAAGAGAACGAGACAATTTCTAGCGTTGTTATTGACTGAAGACCCGTATAACGCTTTCTATTCTAGTAGTCACTGACCACCACTCGTTGGTCGCCAATGACCACCATCAACTACCCCGTGCCAATCACCATCGATGAACCTTGCAAAGTAATGTTATATGTTGCGGTGTAACAATGCACCCCAAAGATAATGTAACACACCCCGAATACAATGTAACTGCACAATGATCAAGTGTTTCAACTTACTCCTAATATGTGGTAATGAGTAACACCATATTTAAGATATAGTGATAACTCTCGACGGCAATGGCTTATGACCGCTATACCTACGATACAATGACTTCCTCCAGACGCCTAAAGTTCTCTCTTCATAGCTCCCGTTATGGTCTCAACTACTAATTGACACTTTCATGACGGCAATGGCTTATGACCGCTATACCTACGATACGATGACTTCCTCCAGACGCCCGAAGTTCTCTCTTCATAGCTGCCTGTTATGGTCTCAACTACTAATTGACACTTTCACAACTCAACATTATGACATATGTGACAAACTACAAATTACATGGCTCATAGCTCAGATAGCTCCCCCTTGCGGCCTACGAGAATATTGCAGCTCACCACTATGACATATGTGACTAACTACAACTTATTTGTTCCACAACTCAATCAGTTCTCGACTCAGAACTCTATGGCATATACATGTTATCTTAGCTTAATTACTAGGATGACCTATGTGACTAACAACGTCCTATCTTGCTCACAACTTGTAACTCCCTACCACGGATTCTGTGACCAACCAACGCTCTTGAAACAACCATTTACGACTTACATAACCAACCACTACGACAACATTAAAATATAATCTCTACAACAAACTGACACTACATCCACCAACTAAAACATTTATGGCAGGCTATCTCTTTCATATCAACTGACTACAACCTTTATAGCAATCACATATAATCTTTGCAGTTTGTTACAACTATTATTGCTGAAATATTGTTGTATATCAACTTTGCAATTCTATCTATTCTAACTAAGGAGAAAAGTGAGTCTGTGTATTTGTAATTACATAGAGGATTACTTCGAATGGGTCAGACGTGTGATTTTTTTCCCTTTGTAGGATTTTTTCCATATAAAAATCATGATATATTATCCCACTATATTTCTTCTTTGTGTGTATGTTGGATCTCGTACTACGCAAAGACGTCAAATTATTACTTTACCACCACAAATTTTTCGACATGCATCAATACTAACATTTAAAAAGTGAAATATTTATTTTCAAGCTTATGTAAAAATTAAAGTTAACTTATTAGATATGTAAATACACAAGAATTCAGTTGTATGTATGTTTATCTTCTCTGATTATTCTCTGATTATGTTTATTTCGTCTCCAAATTCAAAATACAGAATCCTCATTCTTCAGCAAATAGCACCTTGATCGCATCTGTATCCTTGCCCGCCTTACCTGAGAACGGGTGTCAGAAATGGCCGTTATGCCCGCCATAATTCCCCCTCCGCTCCTCCAACTCCCCCCAAATCCCCGCACCCTACTCCTCGAAAAATGCAAGAGCCTCCGCGACCTCCGCCAAATTCACGCCCACCTAATCAAAACCGGCTCTTTTCTTCACCACTCTACTTTCGAGAACATACTCGAATGCTCTGCTCTTCTCCTCCCCAACTCCATGGACTACGCCCTCAAGCTTTTCGATCAGAATCCCCAACCCCATACCGAAGCTTTCAACATCATGATCCGCGCCTTCATCCTTTCACGCTTCCCCACCAACGCCGTCCTCCTCTTCCTCCGCATGCTCGCCTCCTCCATTAAACCTGATAAGCACACCTTCTCCTGCATCCTCAAGGCCTGCTCTCGCCTGAACTCGGTCGAAATTGGGAAGCAGGTGCATGCCTATGCTGTCAAGTGTGGCCTTGCGTGCGAAGATTTCGTTCTGAATAGCTTAATACATATGTACGCCAGCTGTGGAGATGTTTTTGATGCTCGCAAGCTGTTTGATAAAATAACCGAGAGAGGAATTGTGACATGGAATGCCATGTTTGCGGGGTACTTCAAGGTCGAAAGCTGGCAAGAAGTAGTAACTTTGTTCCATGACATGCTGGCATTAGGAGCAGAGTTTGATGAGGTCACATTGATTAGCGTATTGACGGCTTGCGGAAGGCTCGGGGTCTTGGATTTGGGGCAATGGATTGATGTTTATGTACATGAGAATGGGCTTCAGAGTAATCAAAATTTAGCTACTTCACTTGTTGATATGTACGCAAAATGCGGCCAAGTAGAGAAAGCTCGGAACTTGTTCAACGAAATGGCGTCCCGAGACGTCGTCGCCTGGAGCGCCATGATTTCAGGTTACAGCCAATGGAGCCAGTGCAGGGAGGCGCTCAAACTCTTCCATGACATGCAGATTTCAGGAGTGGAACCCAATGAAGTGACAATGGTGAGTGTTCTATCTTCCTGCGCTGTTCTTGGAGCCCTGGAGACAGGCAAGTGGGTGCATTCCTATCTCAGGAGAAAGCAGCTGAAGATGACAGTCAATCTGGGCACCGCTCTTGTCGACTTCTACGCGAAATGCGGGTTCATCGCTGACGCCCTGGAAACCTTCACGAAGATGCCGCAGAAGAACGCGTGGTCATGGACTGTGATAATCCAGGGTTTAGCCAGCAATGGACGAGGAGAAGAGGCATTGAAGTTCTTCTCTTTTATGCTTGAAGCAGATTTCCAACCCAATGAGCTGACTTTCATGGCTGTGCTGTCTGCCTGCAGCCATGCAGGACTAGTTGATGAAGGAAAGCGCTTCTTCCATAGCATGGGCAGCATTTACGGCGTAGAACCGAGCATCGAACACTATGGTATCATGGTCGACATGCTCGGCCGATCCGGTTTGGTTCAGGAAGCTTATGATTTTGTGATAGAAATGCCTGTAAAGCCGAATGCTGTCATATGGAGGACATTGTTGGCTTCATGTAAGATCCACAAGAATGTAGAGATTGGAGAGGAGTCTTTGAAGCAGGTGGTGAAGCTGGAGCCGAAACAAAGTGGGGATTACATACTCCTTTCCAACATCTACGCATCAGTCGGTAGATTTGAGGACGCTGTAAGATTAAGGAATCAAATGAAGGAGAAAGGGATAAGGAAAACTCCAGGTTGCAGCTCTGTTGAAGTGGATGGTGTTATGCATGAGTTCTTCGCGGAAGATAGCGCGCATCCTCTGTGGAAGGAGATATATGAGAAAGTTGATGAGATGATGATGAGGATTAAGGAAGCTGGTTATGTGTGTGATGTAGCAGAGGCGAGATTAGATGCGGAAGAGGAGGAGAAGGAACTTTCTGTGTCGCATCACAGCGAGAAGTTGGCCATTGCGCTGGGGCTTCTGAGATCGACGCCGGGAGCTGTGCTTAGAGTTTGGAAGAACCTGAGAGTATGCAGGGATTGTCACGTGGCGACGAAGCTGATCTCCAAGGTTTATGGAAGGGAAATTGTCGTGAGAGATAGGAATAGATTTCATCACTTCAAGGATGGTTTTTGTTCTTGTAATGATTACTGGTAACCATGATTGAAGGGTTATTATTGTTCTTTTTTTCCCCTTGGGAAAGGAGTTAGTTTTTGTGGGTGAGGTAATTTAGTCTAAAATAAATAAATAAATATTTAATACATGTGTAAATAGATAAAAAAATAAATAAGCCTTGAGCTTGGTTCTTCTCTTCGTTCGGCTGCTTGGGGCCGGTAATCTTTTGACTGGCGAGATCCCACTCTACAAGTTATGTTAGGTTCAGGTGGTCGACCGACTAAAGCTATCTGTTGGTCGGTAGAATTTTTACCCAGTTAACCTTGTTGAACGATTAACTTCTGTGATATGTCGATTTACTTTGGATCTTTTTCTACGGGAACTGAGTTGATGTACATTTTTGACTCATGTTTTGTTTACTTCAGTTATTGGTGGGTTTTCTTTAACCACGTTTTCTTAGACCTATCAGATTTGCTCAAGATTTGTGCTGACGTATGCTTCTACATAAAGGAGATAAAGGGGGAGTAGCAATTTTTTTCACATGATTAACTTGAAATAATATTATATTAAAAATGCATAAACTTGAAATAATAGAGTTAGCTATGCTGAAAACTTGGTATAGACATGACCTTGGTTTCTAATAAGCATACAACATTGTCAGATTATTTGAAGAAAAATTATGTAAATATTAATTGAAAATATAGGTGTCAAAACTAAGGTAATCTATAAATAATGTAATATTGATGTTGTCCTCACCATTTCTTTCATAGTTATGAGACTTAACTTTGAAAAATTTGGAATATTTAAATATAGTAATAAACTTAAATTAATTTAAGTAAATGTAAATGAATATATTGCATTGACGATCAAAGAACATTCATGTTTATGGCATAATACTCAAATCTTTATTGTTACATAAGAAAATAGCATCATCATTTACTTTTTAACTCTTTCATGCATAAATTTATGTTACCAAAATACTGTAAGTGTAAATATCAAACTTTGGGTCTTAGATATGTCAATACAAAAATATTTTGTGGTATGTATGTAATTTTGCCTTTCTTTTAACAAATAAAGCGTAACAATGCGATTTTTGCTCTTTTTCTTTGTTAAGATCAAGAGGTGTATATAGTTTTTTAATAGGGGGATAAGAGAATTTTTACATTTAAAAAAAAATAATATTTTATTTAGAATTTAAAAGAAAAAAACTCTCCTTCAGTATTTAATATATAGTGTAAAAAATAATTGATTAGTGCTCATTACTCCTTCAGTATTTAATATATAGTGTAAAAAATAATAGATTAGTGCTCATTTCAAGAGGTGTATATAGTTTTTTAATAGGGGGATAAAAGAATTTTTATATTTAAAAAAAAATATTTGCCGAACCTCGTTAAATCTCTGTGTTCTTCTGGATTTGTGTCGATTACTGTTTTTCTTCGCCCTAATTTTTCTCAACAAATTGTCACTTGAGCATCAACCAACGCCAACCGATGATGGCAGCTTAGGTTTTATTTGAAGGAGCTTCGCTGAATTATGGTGGCTTAGGTTTTGTTTGAAGGAGTTTGGAAGTTGCGTGGCGGAACAAACATTATTATCTGAGTTTTAAAACGACAAAAGATTGAAGTTCCAGTGAAATAATATCGGGAGGAGTTGCTTCACCAGACGAAAACAAATTCCACGTTGGTGTTCACAGCAACTGAACATAACTTGAGCGCCTTCTCAAACGAAGACTTAGTTGCATGCCTGCTTCAGCACTTGTTTGTTCGAGTTTATTTTTGGATTTGGGTATGGAAAAATTCACAGATTTAATGATCAATGAACTTAAAAAGCCCAATTTGATCTAAAAAAAATAACAATGAACTTAAAAAGCCCAATTTGATCTAAAAAAATACAGATTTAATTTCTTTGATTCCTCCGCTCCTTTCCTAATCTGCTCGTTCCCGATTCCTGCGCGAACCTTCCTCTTCCGGCGACCGCCGAGCCTTCCTTTCCTGCGTTGATCAACATAAAATTTGGCATATATTGGAACCTTGAACAGCCAAAGAAGCCAATTAGTATCTCATGAAAATTATTTGAAGGACCAAACAAACATCAAAGTTTTCTAGTTTATAAGAAAACCATAATCTCATCGTACTAATTCAAGTAACTCCAAAGCTATGTGATTTGCAAAATTTTAGGCTTAATACGTCAATACGTCAAAAAAAATCATATTGATCCACATGAATCTCGACGTGCATTTTGTCGAAGCTTAAAAAATCAACTTTGGAAATGTCTGCACTCTGATTTATGATCAAGAGTAGTGTCTCAAGGAGACAAACAAGATGACATAAGAAAAAAATTGACTCGAGTCCAAGTGGCTCAAATCATGCACGACAAGAATAGTTGGAAGCTTTGAAATATATTTTGGGAGGACCAAATGATCTCAAAATCGGATAAGTTTATAGTCAGATCAAACGTCTTGAGGAGCCGAATATGACGAGCCCAAGATCACTTAATTTTGACATCATTAACACACTTAAATGCTCACATCATCTAATCAAATAGCTCACTTTGGGCCGTCTGATGTAGTGGTCTAGATTCATACAATTTTTACAGATGAAGTCACTTATAAAATCTATAAATGGACCCCAACTCTCTTCATGAGAGAGAAGTTGGACTTGGAAGAGAAAGTTGAAGGAGCTCCAAGCTCTTGGAGGTTTCAGAGCTCCACCATTGTTAGACTTTCGCTAATTAGCTGTTGCCGCCGTTAAACCACCATCGTCGTTGCCATCTACCGTCATCGAGTTGTCGTCACCATCTTACCATCACACGATAATTGTCGTCAAGTAATCACCACTGTTGCACCACTACTGCTAGAACACCATTAGACCACCCTTTCCTGGTCATCGTCGTCAAGCTACTGCCACTACCAGACTGTTGTTGCTTGATCTTCGTCAACTGAATGCCGCCACCACTATCCGACCATCACCATTGAGCCGCCGCCACTACCAAACTCTTCTTGTTTGACCACTGCCATATGGTCACCACCACCACTGTCCTACCATCACTATCGAGCCGCCACCACTGTCGAACTCCTCTCGTCTAACCCTTGTCATCTGGTCATCACCACCACCGAACCACTGCTGCTCAGCCATCACCATCAAACCACTGTCACCATTGAACCACAATTGTCTGAACATTGCCGTCTTGCTGCCACCACCGATGAACTACTATCGCTCGACCATTACCATCATTACCACCCAACCACCAACACTATCGATGATGCTGGTAACATACATTTTGGCACCTGACCTATACCGCTAGTACTCCTTCATAACAATTGGGTCGTTGCCACTTTTCCAACCTATTTCACCACTCCCTTACAAAAGTTGCATTGATAACGTGTCCTAAAACAGATACAGAAATGGAAGACATGGCAAAGGTTCCTTATGCCAGTGCCGTTGGCTGCTTGATGTATGCTAT